CCCCCCCCCCCCCCTCCCCCAGTGGACAACCGAGCGGACGTCAAAAAATATAGTCGAAGTAAAAATCATTAACAAAGACACGCAGTTCATTATATAGTCTAAATTGCGTCCCCAAACTTGAAAGATTAATAATACCCAAAACAAAAACACAAGCAACACCCCAAACCCAATATATATATATATTTGAACCGAAAAACATGCTGCTGGTATTAAACGCATAGACTACAGCCTACCCCCATAAGCGACTACTGTTGTACTCAATGGATCTATGTCAAGGGTGAAGGATGCCGCTTTCCGCGCACGGAAGTTGTCCGGGGGATTTGTGGTGCACGGTCTGACAACACGGCTGTATGTACCTGCACGTAACCAAGGGTATTGTAATTTGCCCAAGGGAACACTCGAAATTGCTATCGCCTCAACCAGAAATAGCACGTCTCTCGTTGCAGGAGGCTCTCCTGCTGGTAGGTGACCCGTCCGGTAGTCCACAGCATCCAGGGCCATTGCACGACGTTTATTTCCCGCCCCAGCCCTATCTCAAGACATTCACCGGCAACGTGGAGCGAGCGAGCGTGTGTCGTAGCGCCCGTCAAACCAGGAGGAATACCCCACTCACCATCATCGAAAACGGGGGGTGGGTTGACTGGTGCCTCCTTGAGGTGGGGGGCACGCACCTCGCGCGGGGGGTGAATGATCTCCCGGGTGGCGGGATCGCGTACCCCGAACATCCGGCAACGGAATTGCCCCTCCTCCACAGCATCACTCAGCCCCACCTGGGCCGGGCCGGCAAGCAGCAAACACGGCGGCCATCAACAGCGAGAGAGGTCGTCATTTTATTCTCCCCCGTTTTTCCATGTGGGTGAGGGTGGGAGTAAGTCCTGCTGGTCTGACGGGCGCTACACCACACGCTCGCTCCGAGCCGTCAGAGCGCTTCTGCACGACTAGGACAGCCACTCGGGAGCATGTGCAAAGGGGGCCGAGAGGAAAGATCGGAGGGAAGCGATTCTGAAGAGCCGAGGTTGTTGTCGCTGCTGCCAACGACAACAGGTGCAGCGATAACAACCTCGGCTCTTCAGAATCGCTTCCCTCCGATCTTTTCTCTCGGCCCCCTTTGCACATGCTCCCTCGCGTGTGGCTCTTAAAGCCGCACGGACGTGCACCGGCGGTCCGGAGCGACCGGTGTTGGGCACCAGGAAAGAACCTACTCATCCATCTGGAAGGCGATTATGGACGCTCTGAGGCCGCTGGGAAGCGCCAGGCACAGAGGGTAAATGCTCTCCCGGGTGGGGGGATCGCGCACCCTTAACATCCGGCAACGGAACCGCCCCTCCTCTACAGCGTCAAACACCCGCGGGCGCGAACGCATGGCCCGAGCAGGGTTGATGCTCTTGCTGCCGTCCACGCCGCTTCTGGTGGTATCGTTGCTGTCCCAGAATCACTCCCACTGCCTGCTACTCTGTTGGTTCGCTCGTTATCACATCGAGAGGGTTTCGGCCGGCGGTGTGGTTGTTTCTGCTGGGGGCAGCTTGTATGGCCGTTGCGGGGGCCCCGTGGTCGGGGGATGAGGATAATGCAGAGCGAGCGAACACGCCAATCATTGGAGGTTGCGCCGCGCCCGTGGCAGTGTTGCTGTTTGTTTCTGTTCCACACATGGGCTGTTGGATGTGTCAATGAACTTGTCCGTTGTCAAGTTGTCCATGCGGCGGGATGAGCGAAATTTTGGATGCCTGGGGCCCGCGTACGTTTCCAGGAACGTTATTTTGCGTGGTCGGCCACAGACACTAGAACGCTGGTTTTTTTTTGGGCGGGGTGGGCAAAGGTTTTTCACTCTTTTCGTTTTTTTGTTCCACTCCCGACCCCACCGCTATCACACGCACGGACATGGATGACCCTTTTCTGCCATTGTCATTCTTTGTGGTCGCCAGATCCTGTGATCGACCACCACCATCACCATCACCACTGCTGTTTGCGATGACCCCCCCTCGCCGCCGCCGCCGCCGCCCGTTTTCCCTGTGACGATGGTTTAACTTTCCAGGCGTGTCGAAAAGCGGAACGCAACAAGAAGGCAATATCCCTGCTGGACGAGATGGAGGTGCGTGTACGCTTTTCTTTTTTTTCTTTTGGCGCTCTTGTTAGATAGTACTGCGGTTTCGTTTTCTTTGTCGCCGCCGTAAGTGCAGCATAGCTGCCGCGCTATATATATATATATGCAGCGAACTATCGAGTCCTGTCCTGTCGTATAGGCGCGTGCTGCCCCTCTTGGTCGTCCCTGCCGGCCTGTGTGTCTCCTGGACTGTCTGTCTCTTGGCCTGCCTGTCTCCTGGACTGTCTTTATTTCGCCCTTGGGGTCTCAAGGTTGTCCATTTGGCTCGAATAAACGCGCGTTGAAAGTTTTTTTCTTCACAAACGCCCTTTGAAAAAAAAAAAATGTTTTTTTTTTTTCCGAGCAGTGGTGGTGGAGGTGCACACGAACCACACACATTGACACCAAAATAAACCTCAGGTTTCGTGTGGTAATCTTTGTAGAAAGGCCGGCATTTATGCTGTGGTCCCCTAATGACTTGTCTGTATGCAGGTGAATCATTCACACACACTCAGGTCTCGTTTGACAACGTTTAATATTGAAGCATCCGCGATGTCGTCGATGCTGCTGTTTTTGTGTCTGTGTGGAAAACATGGTGAAAGAAGACGACTTTTTGTACAAACGCCCGGCACACGAACTACTCACACCCATCATTCGTGTGACGTTCCTTGTACTTCTTTGTACAACTGCTGTCATTTCATGCTGTATGTCTGTATGGAGGACAGAAAGACGGAGTCGCCCCGGACATCGTGACGTACAACACATGCGTTACCATCGCGGGCCAGGCCGGGCGGCTGGACCAGGCTCTCGAGCTGCTCAGGAGGGCTAGCGAGGAGGGGGGGCTAGAGCTCGACGTGGTGAGAGCCCAGCCGGCACGCCCGCCCGTCCTCTTTTCCTTGTAGTCGTTGGTTTTGGTGCACGTCTCGTGGTGGCTTGTCCTATGATGAAGGCGTTTTCGTGTAACTGTCACATCACTTCCACTGTATTTTTTTTTCCGGGGGGGGAGGGGGGGGGGGGGGGGGGGGGTACTCATAGTCGTGCATGTCGTAGTCGTTAGACCATTGACCTCGCATCCCTACAAAGCCGGGACGGAGCNGCAGTCGTCTTTTCTTCTTTTTGTTGTCCAACCTGGCGAACGTTGTACTTCGTTTTTCTTATTGAGGGAGGCGTCTTCGTGTAAGCGTCACGGCACTTACATTGTTTTTTGGGAGGGAAGGGGGTGTAGATTGATTGGGTCTGTGGTTTTTATGCGCTGGTACGTGTCATGTGTAGCGTATTTTTTCGGTTCTCGATTCTCGATGCCTTTTTCTTTTTCATCTCGCCTCGAAGGTAGTTAGCTGCGTACAGCGTTTAGTGCGTGTCTTTGTATTTTTTTTTTAGCACAAGAGTGCGGTACAAAGGGAGTCCCGAAAAAAGCTCCGTAACCACTACCGTAGGGTGGTGGAAGGGGCTCACAGAGAGAGGAGGTGTTATGCCCGTGTGGCCGACCCCAGCTGTGCCATATAGACCGACATACAGGGATTGAAGGATATGGGCTAGATCGCCATGGACGCCATACATAACGTGCAAGTAAACCCAGCAACATGGCATGATTCAGGCAGACGTTAACGTACAACAGTGCACAGTAGAACGCAACCATACCAAGGTAGGGGATGCAGCACGTCCGGTTCCGTGGCAGGATGTCATCCCCACGTTATCTTGCATCTCTCTCTCTTTTGTTGGCCTCCTTTCTGCCATTGGGGCACAACCCCGCCGCAGGTGAGCTATCGGGCGGCCTTGGGGGGACTCCGCAGGGAGAAGCGGTGGGAAGCTGCCGTGAAGCTGCTGGGGGACATGCAGCGCCGTGGACTTGGGCCCGACGAGGTGATGAGGGAGTTCCGACAGCAGTAGCAGTTGTGGGCTGCTCTGGGTGCTTTGACGTTCGGTAGCGAGCCAGGTTCATAGACCTTCTGTTTAGCGACCACAAAATCACGTCGCACCGCCCCACCCCGGTAGCTAGATTATATATAATTGGTAGTTCAGTTTAGCGACCATACCCGAAGAACGGCCACGTGTCGTCGTGACATCAGGGGTCGCTTAACCGCCCCCCCCCCCCCCCCCCCCCCCCCCCCCCCCCCCCCC